TACTATAATATATATATATATATATATATATATATATATATATATATATATATATATATATATACATACAAGCAAATAATAAGAATCCCGTAAAGTTACAAAATGCGAGAAACGCACATATGTAATAGCGGTATATTATGAGACATTATTATATAAATCATCATTATTCCATATGTCTTGGCATTTGACGTCGTCATAAAATGAATATTTATAGAATTGATAAGCTCGACCATCTAAATTGTACTTATTAAATATTTACATCAATTGTAATCAGTCATTTCTCTCATCTACTAATTATAAATCACAAAAATTAAATGAACGCACATGATGAAATATGTAATTGTGACTGGGAAAAAGTAATGAGAGAATAAATATGAAAGAGAATCAGTGTAATAATTAACATAGTATTTATGTGTATTCTTGTTATAATAGTTTGTTTTTGCAGCTGCGGAAATTGCGCTTGTAGCGTGAACAATTATGCTATATTAAATATCAATTTATAACAATTATAAATTTATAATTAATGCAATATTATCTAATATTATACATTATCTAATACATATTTAAGAATAATTTTTTACAAGGTTTATTTAAATATAAAACAATTTTTAAGATAGAATCATAACGGAATCAACATCGCGAAAAACAATAATAAAATATGGTAACAGTGATTTTATATATTCCTTGAAAGAATGATATAAGTGAACAAAAATAATTAAAGAAAGCAAATTATTTTATAGATTTATGCGAAACCGAAAAAATTTTGTAACATATAAGAAAAATGACTCGACAAGGATCTGGAAAGGCCTCAGACAAGGTTAAAGGGAAAAATAAAGTTGCATGCGTTCACCTTCATTACCATGAATATCTTGTCCGCAACTTTCTTTACTGTATTTATGACCGACCTCGATATGTACATAAAATTCGACGGAAGGTGTCTTTATTGCTAAGTGTCTTTCACAACGTCTTTTCTTTCACGTCTAATTAGATCCAATATGTATCCAATCTAATATAGGATCCGATATAGGAATCCCGTAGTTCATAAATTTTTAAACTGAGATTATGTGCATTAGCAAATTATTCGCGCGGCTGAAGAAAAATGACGTTGTTTGCAATTATTCTTGCGTAAGTCTCCCTATTGAAGTACATAAGAAGTAAATAATTATCCATTCTTATTGCGAATAGTAATACGTATAAATAAGATGCAGTAAGTGATATATGCGAGCATATGCGATTAGTTTCCTCTTTATTAACAGTAAAATTATTATTGCAAATAGTAAATACCAAGATTTGCTATATGAAAATATACGAAACATTGCTACCTAATAGCTTCGTTTGTTATTTATAATATATCTTATATTAATTGCATATCGGATTTGTATATAGCTTAACTTACACAGTAAAATATGCCTCAGAAACAAAGTATATCTTAGAGAGATAGAAAAATATCTGAATGACAGAATACGTTCAACATATTCAAATATGTCACATTGCTAAAATATTATCTGATCATATTTCTCAAATTTTATAAAATCATAATTATTTCATATAAGACATAATCTTCTAATTATGCACTAGATTTTAAAATATATGTATTTTAAAATCAATTTATATGCGATACTACAACAGTTGTAGGTTTATAGAAATGTTATAGAAAAGATGTTCTTGGAAAAAATAATTTAATAATGTACAACATAATTTTATAGATTATTTTAAATTGTATAAACCGAAATAGAAATAAATAAATTTGTATATAAAATATATTACATAGAATAGATTTACTAATTTAGACTTATTGTTAGCAGTAAAAGGATCTTTTCGTAATTTCTTTTTAAATATTTATATGTGTCTAAAATAAGAAAAAAATGTGTATCTTCTTTTTTAATTTTTTAAATTATATAAAAATCTTTTATAATATAAGTAGCCATCTTATCTTTTTCACATAATTTGTAAAAGCTTGAAATAAGAATATAATTTGTTTTTCTTCGTCAATATAAGAAGTGATGTAATAATACAAACATCTCTTTTTTTCTTTTCCTGTTTTAAGTGAAATAAAATCTTGTGTTCTTCTCGTTAATTCACATTTAACAGTTAAAACAGTTTTTTATCTTTTTGCATTTGCTCTTTAAACAAAATGAAATATGATTCTGCAATAATATGGAATGTTTTTCTGGAGAAGGATTAATACATTAAAATTATATTATTTTTTAGAAATATAAGAATAGATAATATAATGTTTTCTTGATTATTTGTCTAAAAATTTTTTAAAGTTGCAATCACATTGATATTAAAGTCGTATCTCACTAAATCTAAAATTTGTGTAAAATTATTAAAAGAAAGTAAACATTTTCACAAAACCAACATATGTATAAATATATTACAAGTTCATATATATCGATAGTTATCTTGATTAGCATTTATATATAATTATAGTTTATAAATGCAACATTTATTTAAAGAATACAAAAACTATATATATTTTTTTTTATAAATAACATTTATATTAAAAAAGTACATTATATATTATTTTAATCTATTGTTATAATAAACTTCACTGTTGCTTAATATGTTTTAGTTTTTATGCTTTTGTGACATAAAATTTATATTTAATTTTCTTATATTCTTGTTAAATATATTATTAATCATTATTTTAGCTAAATAAATTTAAAACACTGACATATTATTTCTCTATAACAAAAATCACAATAAATAAGACAACTAATATACTTAAATATTATTCAAATGTCTGATTTTTCTTACTTAATTAGTATATATGAAATTATTCCGATTCTATAATAAACTATTGCTAAATCTAATTGATTGGTCACACATATTTTTCAGTTTCCATGTAAACATTTTTTTGCAACTATTGCCGTAGATACAGATTACAAGTTTTTCTTCCAGTCATTACTTTTTCATCATAAACATTAATCATATATTTGCATTACAAGTAATAACGTAGATTTAACAATATTAGCAAAGTTATGACATAAAGTATGACAAAAAGAGAAAAACAGGCATAAGAAAATTTGCATTATAATTTTAAAGAATAAATTTTAATGAGCTGTTCTCAAGAATACAGAATTATAAAAGATTTGCTAACATCGATTTTATGAAAACCGATTTTATGCAAATAAACATCTCTAAATTAAACAAAATCGATCTTTGTTATACTGAATTTTTACGATTATCACGTATTTCCATAAGCTTCCGTATTATAAGAATTCTTTGGTCGGATCGAATGGTACAAAGATCATAATTATGTAAGCCGGTATGTACATTTTGTTTCCTTTCTAAGAAAGCGATTGAAATCATTCCGAAAGTATAAGAATATTCTGATATTGAATATTGATCTGATATATTTAATTCAAATGCCAAAGTATCTGCATCAGCTTGTTTTATTATGAATTAAATTCTTTCTTTTTATGACTGATTTTTATGACATTTATCTGACGCAATTAATTTTACAACAATAGTAAGAGACACCTATTTGTAGCTGGTCTATAATTCTCAATGTAAATTCGTGTTGCAATGAGTATTATGAATATATATATACACAAAATGATATAATTTAAACTATTTTACAAGACTAGATTAACACAAAAATTTCTATATATAATTTTAACTTTTACTTTTGTTTAAGTCTTGTTTTCTTTGATTTTTTTATAAAATAAAAATGCTTTATATTTAAATTCGTACTTCTAAAACACACTTTTCCCACAAATTTTTAAACAATGCATCTAATATTTACTTAAAAAGACTTTTAAAAGAATAATTTCATAGAATAAACATTTTATGATAATAAAATAATTTAGTTAAATATTGTAACAGCATTTGTTACTACAAATAAATTTACAAAAGTTACAAATTAATCGCAAAATGAAATTAAAAATAAAATGCTGATTTAAATTGTGCAGAGATCTCTCTTTAATGATTTATTGCTAAATATTATTATTATTAATAATCTCTAGATAATAATAATGTAACTTTCAAGTAATACGGTAAAGGAAAGAATACCAGTCTGATAAAAAACGCTTTACTCGTCAGCGCATTGCGCTACTGCTACTGCTGCTGCTGCTGCTGCTGCTGCTGCTGTTTCTACTCCGGAGGACATCCACGAAAGGGGGCGTCCGCGAAAGAGGGGAAGAACTATGATGCACTCTTGTACTGCATCTCTTGTACTGAAGACAGGAACTTACTCGCTACTCCACACACAGTGTTCGAACAGTGCCTTGCTAACTTGCATCGGCGACTAATCCGCTCTTTCCACCTGCCACTACCACCTACCATTCCTTTTCTATTTCCTTTCATATTTTTCCTGTATCTTGACTCAGTTACGCGTAATATATTTCGCACTTGTCATACTGAGTCAGTGAATAGTCGCTTAAGCGACGCGGATCGCGTTGACAGACTTGACTGACGCCAGCAATAGAAAGAAGATAAATATAACGAAGATATCTATCTTATCAGTTATCGAAGACTAATGGGTTATTAAATCTGAAAAAAATTAAAATATCAAGAATTTCTTCAAGGATCACAAAATTGCGATCGAGAATACTTGCACGTGTCAATCGGAGATTGTCTCAACTTTAGCCTTTGTCAGGAATTTTTGATCAAGATTTGTGACTGATTTTATTGTGATATTTTTATGTAAGTATTTAAACAATAATGCAAACATCATTAAATTATAATGTGTTTTGAATATAGATGACATTGTTTATAACATGTAATTTTTATCTCTAAATTAATTTTTTAACTGTAGATGAATATTATTATACACTTTAATTTTTCAATTTAATTGTACTTTGCAAGAATTTTGTTCAATTGATTGATTGTCAGATAACATCTACAGTTAAGTGCTTTATTTTTTTTTCTATTAGTTTGAATCAAGCAATGATACATAAAGAACAAATTAAAATAAAATTTTAAAACAAAAGTGTATGTGTAAGTATATGTGTAAGTGCATATGTATGTGTAGGTGGCATTATAATATTGCATGTTTTAATTTTAATAAATCCAAGATTGTTAATTTTAATTCGACATAACATCAGATTGTCTACTTGTTAAACCATATTATGTATTATTATATATTATTATATATGAAAATAATTATTATTTTGCATTTAAAAAAACTGTTACATTTTAGAAGAAAAATCTCATAACTTGTACATAAATAAAATTTATACTATCTATTTTCGGATTAATGTTTAAATAGATTACGTCACAAATTAAATATATCTTTAAAAATAGAGATGACATTGTTTACATGTAATTGTCATCTTTAAATTTATTTTTTTTAATGTAGATGAATATTATTATACATTAATTTTTTTAAATATAAAAAGTTTGAATAATAATAAAAATAATAATAATAAAATCTTTAAATTATAATTAATCAATATCAAGGAAAAATTAAGCAAATTAATATAATAAAGATGTAAAAATAATTAAATATTTTCTTAAAAATTTTTTATGCACATAAAAAGATATTTAAATCTTTAAACTTTCTTAAAATAATATTTTTTTACATACATACATATATGTGTATATGCACACACAAAATATGAATTACACACACACACACACACACATATATATATATGTATGTAATCTTTTTCTTACAAAATTAAATAAGTATTTAAATAAAATATAATTTTATAAAAATAAAATTTTTTATTTCAAATGTTTTAAAAATCATTTTATTTTTATACATCGACTTTTTTTTTTAAATAGTTACAAACAAAAATTTCGGATACAAATATTAATTGTCATTTAATTATATCTTTTTGTTATTACATTTTATTGATATTACTACAAAGAAATTTTAAAATGTTTTTTTTAAATGTTTTAATAATTTATTTATAATTATTACTACATTATTTTCTTCATAAAATTATTGATGTTTGTTGTATCGCTTGGATATTAAAAGCAATTATTTTTTAATGATACATCAAATTGCAATGATATATTAAATTGCAATAAATTCGACACATGACTATCTACTTATCTATTTAGCTATTTGTCACGCTAAATAATTTCACTCAATTAAATCATATAAATATTGATTGTCTCTACACTAGGATTTATTAGATTTTGATTTCAATTGCCAACAGATATTAGTTTTACTGAATAATAGTAACTAGATAAAGTAAAGATAAAATTTGCTTACAAAATTGAAAAACAAAGGAAAGCATTATAATAATAAAATTTCTTCGTAAATGTAAATACATATGGCAATATGGGAAAGACTCTCTTACACTTTGCACTTTTATTCACATACCAATCGTTCTCAGGTTTAATGAAATTATCGGTGAGTGGACTTTCCAAGTATTTCGCAACCCAATGAATCTATTAATGCATAGACATTAAACTGGAAATATTTTATACTTATAATTTGTCTCGTAATTTTGTTGCTTATTTGTTGCTTGAATAATTAGCCAATGACTTAATTAACTCCAATTACTTTCCTCTAATTATTATACTATAGCAAAAGTTATGGTATTATTATACCATAGAAGTTATGTGCTATTGTGTACATAACTTTAATATTTCAAGTTTGCACCATAACATCTCCAACCGTAAGGCACGTTGAAAAAAAATTAAAAAAATTTTTTTTATACAATTTTTCTTATACAATTCGAACTTACTGAAGCTACCAATTAAATATATTAAGAAATTGATCTAATCTAAGATCATCATTTCTAAAGTAAAGGTAAAGACACCTTACCGGATTTCGCGTTTGACACGACGCATATTTAAGGCAAGATATTATTATCAGTCTTTTTTTCGATACATTAAACTTGTAGTGTTACTTTAATATTCCGATTTTTCATAATATCTATATCAGAGATTGATAAAATGTATATACAAATTAAAAATAAATAACCAATCAATAAGTAACTTTTAATCAAATTTTGTTATAGTAAAAATTCTAATTATTTTAAAATTACAGAATTTTTATAAATCTGAAATGTTCAATTTCAAATGAATGAATGATTTTATGAATTTTTCAAATGTCTATGTTATATCTATAAAACGCCGGTCATAAAGAGTAGATAATATTTAATATAAATCTGCAGGTATGATGATCATATGTGATTCTACGCATATTTCACAATTGATATGTACAATGAAATGCGATTCGTGCGTATTCAATGACCCTCTTATGTCCCTGCTATATATTTAAGAATTAGCAACTACAGGATACATCGCGTGAGGGGAGCAAGAGAGCATACATATTAATGTTTCCGTGACAAGACATTAAGAATATATGTAAAGCGTTGACCGATCGCGAAGACACGGACAATTTCCTCGCGAGTCCCGACGCCGAAGGACGCGTCAATAGACAGCCGGAACTTTTTAAGGACGCGGCCGAGAAAGTCACTGACTTTAACGTGACTGATAATAATGTACCATTATTTTATTTAGATATCTATCGACCGCAAAATTAGTTATACATACGCACATAGATACGCAAATAACGAAATGTTACTAAAGGTACATACGTCGGTACCTCCAGGTATTTCCAAGATAAAAATTTATGAACGTGATGGCAAAAATTTCTTCAAGGAAGCATAGAAAAAAAATTAAAAATATCTATAAACAAACCGCGTTAATAAAAATTCAAAATAATAATAAAATAATAATAATAAAATTTAATAATAAAAAATAATTTTAATTCTAGAATTAAAATTATTTTTCCAAAATTTTGAAGTAATTGTCTACTAGTAATTGTCTACTTTCTATTAATAGAACTGATTAAACGATATAGATTATTATTTTTTTATTGTTTACTGTCTTTTTGAACACAACTTTCTATTTGGGCTCTTTGATTGTTTCATCAATTAAACATTCGGCGCACCCCTAATTTACCAATTACCTAAAACAGCATGTTGAATGTTGATAATAGATTACATGCATCGATTAAAGCTTACGACATCGAAATCTAATTTCTGAACTTGCGACAGAAAGCGGAGAAAGGAACCGATCAATTTTGTCAGATCGATTTCACTACTGTGATGCAATTTGTACGAGAGCTACAATCTGAATCTACCGCTACTGCACCGAGAATAATTTGCACCTTTGAGTGCATACATTTTTTTTCAAGTATTTTATTTATTTGTTCTTTACTCGAAGCACATGTCACATAATTCGCTTTGTAAGAACTGAATAAATATTTTGTCACGCATATCATGGCACGTGACAAAGACAAATAGATCGCGTGGAAATAATGAAACGTACATATGTAATTTTCTCATACTGGATACGTAATTCACAGAATTAATAGAAGTGGATTACGACTGTTGCCAATTATAGCTGCACTTATTTAGTTGACCATTATCGATCTGTATACCGCGCAAAATCTACGTTTTAAACATCTAACCAAACAAAATTGCTTTAAACAAAATTGTTTACTAAGTATTGCTTATTAAATATTTATCAATCTTTAATTTCCGACAAGATGTTTTATTTTGAACTCATAAACATTTGATATAAACCGGATAAATTAATCAATATTTTCTATAATATTTATTTGAATCTTTTACATCTCTTTACTTTGTCTTTAAAAAAATATTTGAAGACGTAAGATTAATATACGACAAAGATTAATATAATGAAATAAAAATTAAAAATATAGAATAATATGTAATGCAAAACTGCGAGATTCACTTCAATTTCTACACTCAATTTAGAATCTATAAAATTTTTTCTACTTGTCTATTATTTCTATTATCTCTATTTTTTTATTTGTCTATTATTTTTTTATTATTTTCTTTTTGTGTTATATGTTAAATGCAACAATAAATTATTATTATTGTAGTGTAAAAAAGATATCCGGACAAAGGTATATCCTATTACGACAATTTTTCCGCTTATTAATTCCGCATAATATCGGAATTACAAAAAAAATGCTAATTTAAATGAGGTTCTTACATTATTTATAATTATAAATCAATCATTGATATTAATAACATGATAAGATTAAAAAATATGCAAGTTTAAAAACAAATCATTAGTAAGTCATAAAAACTTCTTATATATCATTACATCAATATGCTCACATGTAAAGTAAAAAAAAGTATCAAATTAGAGGGAAAAAAGTATCAAATAATAGAAAAATTGTATTTCATATATAACAAGTCATAAAAAAATTAATTACATCTAATCATCTAAATAAATGCATATATCTTTTATGATTAAATAGATCTATTATGTTTCTAGAGCTCGTGTGAAAGATACCGTTGGATAATCTCTTGCTTATTTAACGTTTTGCTCTGACAAAATTTATAATCTGAATAATTTACAAGACAACATTTTAATTTCACGCTTAATAAATGTAAGAATGAACATATAATAGATTTAACGTGACCTTACAAGCGTTACTTCAAAGAATGATTACTTTGAGGATGTAATCGTTCAAGAATTAAAAACATCATAATATATATATATATATACTTAGCACTTACACGTTTACTTGTTCATAGTTTCTCTGTATCGTATATGCGCAGTCATTTATACTTTATCCATAGTATTTTCTAAGTCTTAACGTCATTCATATTATCATTATCATTATGATTATGAATATTAACGTTAACGGGAAAATAAAGTGTTGAAGTACTGAAGACATGTAGATGTAGATATTGTAAATAAAATGCAAATTAAAACCTGCGTACAGCAATTAGATATTTTCTGATCGTTATACATTGTATTTGAATATGAAGAAAAACATTTAATCTTTAAACATGGTTGCATGATTCCTAAATCTTATATAATTACATACATATTAGCAATTAAAATCGCATTTACTATTGCAATTATTATACTTCTTAGAATATACAGGAAAGAAATTATTTCTTACTTTTCGTAGATACCAGGCTATTATTTTGGAATGCAATATTTCGCCTACTTTCATGTTTCTAACAAAGTGGCCTTTTCGTGATCGGTCATTGCGTACTTCTCAAACATAATGTTGAGTTTAATAAGCTGCTGCTACTCTTCAGTAAAACTAAATAGGCAATTGCTGATACTAACAATAGTTAGTAAATGTTTAAGAAAGGATTTGGAAATATACAGCATAAATTATCATGTCTTGTATTGAAATACAAATAGAAAAGATAAATTCTCAATTTACTTTATATATATGTATATATATATATATATATATATATATATATATATATATATATATATATATATATATATATATTATGTATATTATGTATATATTATGTATCTATATATTATATTATGAATTAAGTACAAAACAAAGATATTTTTCTTAAAAGATTAAATGTGAGTATCGCTTATACAATTTATAATTACTTATACTTATATTTACAAATTAGGTTTTTATTATGTGCTATTTATATAATTGGTTACTTGGAAGAATTTACAATGAATCAGAAAACATAATCTTTTATTAATTAATTTTTTATTTAGAAAATGAACTTGATATTGCTTATACATTATTATATTATTTCCTCTATTTATCAAGATTTCATTTTACGATGTACAGTGAAAAAGTTTTAATTTAACAACGGATTACAATATTTCAATAATACCAAATGAAATGTTAAAATAATTATGTCTTCAATTTATCGTATATTGATCAGATGCATATCTCAACTGGCAATTTTGGCGGCCATCGTTTCACGCTTCTCAAGGTGGGACACTTGCTAAAATTTCGACCTTTCGTGTTTATCACAAAAGGGCGATGTTATCTTTGTTGAAAGCGATAAAGTGTATCCATCTTTGAGGTCACTAAGCGTTTGTCTGTTCAGAAGTATACGGAAGTATACTGTATATCTTTTTATCACATTAAAATAAGTTTTCTATTGTTCAAGAAATGCGCTTTTAAATCATTTTATTGTTCAAGTTTTTTTTTACTTTCAACGCGTCTCGCTTCAAATCTTTATTTATAAAGAAGACCCGCGAATAATCGCAACCGGTTTAGGCTCAATTCTTTTCCATCAAGGTTTCTTCATTCAAGGTTTTGAAACAAACCTACGGTTATACATCAAGGATAGGGTATTTTTTAAATATATGATCCGTTAGTTGATGAATTACATCCAGTTTAATTCACTACTGTTTCTTCATGGTTACACTTAATTACATATTCGAATTTCATTTAATTTTAAAATGACGCAAATTGAATAAAAAAGTGCGTTGCAGACAGCACAAGCGGCAACATGAAATGGTAGTCTGCAAAGAGAAATTGTTTTTTTCTCTTTCCGAACTGCGGCTAACCACAGAAATTTGGCCGCAATCATATCGTTGTCCTTCAAATCTTGATCGTTTCTTTTAAAGCCAGTTGTTAAACAACCATTTACTGCTAATAATGATTTCACAAGACAACACTAGTCAGTTCTTTGGTCGCTTACGACACCCTCGCTATTGCAGTGTCATTATCGTATTATTTGTATTAAACTAAATTATCGATGTTTTACAGTATACTTAAAAAAATAATAATTGGATATGTTTTTTTCAATATGATTCGATGACGTAAGTTTATAATTTCTTGTTATAAGTTACGGTCTGTTATTAATGTCAATCTCTATAGATTCGGGATCTTTCATAAAAAAAAAAACACTTACATTAATTAAGTAAAATATTGGAAGGATTAAATAACTTTAAAAAAATTAAATAATTTTGCAGGACAAGAAAATTTTGTTTACTTTGATTCAAACTTGATCCAATAATTGTAATTTTTCTTAAAAATCTTTAACCCAATGATGTGATCACATTCAAAATTCTTGGAAATACTAGACATAAATATAATAAAAGTGCCACGACTTGCATTACCTAACTTGTGCGAAAATTTTCTTATTTAGAAATTTATTTCTAAAATAACAATATTATTTAAAGTATTTAGAATGTTTAAATTGTAAATTTACAATTAGATTTCTTTCATATAAACTAATTTTAAAAAACTTAAACGTTATTTCCGAAAGATAATGTAATTAATAATTCTAAAACAAAAATGTAATTATGCTAGTTATTTAATTAGGATCAACCAAATTAAGTGTAATTTGGTTCTATTCTTGCAAAATTCCAGAAATTAGAATTCCTTTCCTCCATTATGTCTTTCGTAGACTATTCGTTAAATATTTCTAATTAAAATTGCATATATACGTACAGCATGCAATTGCCCGTTGCAATTAGGAAAAGGTGCAACAAGTTTCCATCCCCTTACCATGTCGTCGTCATTAGAACCAATGTCGTCATAGACCAAGGACAACTGAAAAGACAAGTAGAACAATGCACTTTCGTAGTTATATGTATGTTAAATACGTTTGCAGCATACATACTGCAATACCTTGCCGTATGTATGTTGCAATCATAGAATAATCTAACATTTTCTTGTAATAAGCATTAAACTTACAATTTTATACTCACATAAAGTTTAAGCTAATAAAATAATTGAATTCCTTTACAAGATAATAAATGTTTTTTTCAGCTTGTTAGAAATTTGTGCAATTTGGCTAAACACTAGACCAATTTCCATTACTATCTAGTATTATTGATTTCTCTTTATATATATAAAAAAAAATACTGCATAACTATTAGCAATTAGGCAAAATTAATTGGAATACAAAAATTTTGTGTGTCAATTCTTTACAAGATATTGTAAGTTAATATTAAAAACGTAATTGTTCACTTTTTTATTATGTGATTAGATTATGTACTTATGTATATGTAATACATCTCAAGCTGATATATATATTGTTTTTGTTATGTGTTATGCGTAAATTAAAAATGTGTAAAAAATTAAAACAATTTACAGAATTTATATTTCTGTCATAAAGGTTTCAAGAGAGATAAGAAGTGACAATTATCAAAGATTAGAGGTGAGCAAGAGACACACAAAATATACGTAACAAAACATACAAACAAAATATACGTAACAAAAAATCTTATTATTATTTATTTTATTTATTTTACTTGTTATTATAATACTAATTTTACTAATTTTAATTATTCTTAGAATAATTCAGATTATAATAATGATGAGAAATAAAAAAGAAACATGAAAATAACTTTGATTTTTTTTACTGCCAAGTAACTGATTGTAAGTTCTGATTGAATAACTTTGATTTTTTTTACTGCCAAGCAACTGATTGTAAGATTGTAAGCAGATTTTGTTAATTTTTTTTTGTGCAAGCTATGAGAAAAGTGTAACACCTTCATTATTTAGGTTCCTAAACAATTTTGTTATTTAATTATTAGAAAAAGATCAATACAACTAATATAAAGCATAATAACGAATAAAAAGCTGCATTAAATTTCTAGAATTTTTATCGCAATTTTAAAGACTCTGTCATTATTTTATTATTCTCATTATTATCATTATTAAGTACAAAAAGATATAAATTATGTTTTATAAAATTAGCACTTTATATTTTATTATTTGTGATATTATAAAAGATGTGGTAAAGATAAATAGTTGGATATTTTTAAGTTTTTAAAGAAAAAGAAAACTTTGAAATTTTTAACTAACTTACAATATATATTTTTGTAGATTTTCAAATTCAGAGTACAGAATGTCGGGCATCGTGGAATGGTATAGAGATGTGATTGATAATAAATATGGTAATTTTACAACAAATAAACTATGTTTGAAAAAAATTATGTTTCGCGTTTACGTTGCATTATTGTTATATTATTAATTACATGGTTTTATTTAATATGTATATTGTTTCATTATTTCTTTAGATCCAAGAACAGCAGAATGGTTTTTGGTACCTAGTCCTGGTCCAGTTCTGACCATCGTAGCAACATACATATATTTTTGCGTTTCCGCCGGACCGAGATACATGAAAGATAAGAAACCATATAATTTGAAGAACATTATGATAATTTACAACTTCATTCAGATTCTAATAAGTCTTTATCTGTTCTACGAAGGCTTAATGGCTGGTTGGTTGTACGAATATAATTTTATTTGTCAACCAGTCGATTATTCATATAAACCGAGTTCAATGAGGGTAAGTCTTAAACTGCTATTAACGTAATAACACTGTAATAATGATCTATACAGCACGGAATATTTTAACTATATTGCAGCAATGTTGTAATTTTACAAATGGCAGTGCAATGGCAGCGCAAAAACTTTGTACAAAATATCTTTTTCTCTACATGTTCTCTCCATTGTATATTAAAATAATCGATGTTTATCGACATATAATATATAATATTATTACATATTTGTAATACTTTAATATACTGCAACTTGTTATAGATACATGTTTTATTACTATTTTATTATAACTTGAATAATATCGAATATAATAACAAAAATCCAATTTAGTAATGTTGCAGTTTAGCAATGTTCCACGTAGAAGAATCACGGTAATAAAATTTTGAAAGGATTTTCACGTATAAATTGTATCAGCATTTTTCGCGATTTCAAAAGTAACGAGAGACGACCATTGCGACCTTATCGTTGCGACAACCTTAAATTGGTGCAACCTTAAATTATGTAAATTTCAAGCCCACCCGAGGTGAAAGAGCGTACCCATTCTCCCAGGAGAAAATGTCACTTGATAATTGCAACTATCATTAGCGTGTGTCCGCTCGATCTTTACGTAATTGTGCCCTTCTAGATGGCTCGTGGCGTTTACGTGTACTTCATATGCAAGCTGATCGAGCTGCTGGATACGGTGTTCTTTGTTTTGCGCAAGAAACAGCAGCAGATCACGTTCCTGCATCTCTACCACCATTCGATGATGCCGATCTGCGCCTGGATCGGTGCAAAGTTCTTCGCCGGCGGCCATCCGACTCTCCTCGGCGTCATCAACGCCTTCGTCCACGTCTTCATGTACACCTACTACATGCTATCCGCGTTCGGCCCGCATATGCAAAAGTACCTGTGGTGGAAGAAGCACCTGACCATTTTGCAGATTATGCAGTTCATCATAATATTCTTTCATAATCTGCAAATGCAGTTCACCAGCTGTAATTTCCCGAAGCCGCTGTCACTTCTGCTCATGATCAACGCCGGTATGTTCATCTACATGTTCGGGTCGTTCTACATAAATAATTATCTGAAGTCAAACGTACGACGGAAATCGAAGATCGATGGCAATACAAACGGCGTTACGAACGGCGTTACGAACGGCGTAACTAACGGTGTAAGCAACGGCGTGGCCAATGGCGTTAAGAATATTAACATCAATGATGTTACTCATGCCCTTCTTAATGGCAGTCATTTAAATCTCGAGATTCTCCATGGTAAATCCGATTAAAGAACTCGAAACAGAACTCTGCTATCCGGGGAACTGTGACTGTGCGAGTAGAAAAATAATTTTTCAAAGGTTCTTCCAAGAATGTCGCTTATTAAAGAGCGTATTATATCCTCGTAACGTAGATGTAAGGTAGATGTAATGAAACGCGAGATAACGCGGCGTTCTCCCGACTTCGACGTTATTCCGCCGATATTTCTGCAATACGAGTTACGAAAGTAGGTTAATGCGTAGCAAAAGAATGGTACTTTACAAGTAAGTAAAGATTGATTTGGGTTACCTGTGTGCTAATAACGATCCGCTTGCAAGCGAACTCCTCTGCGAACTTTACGCGAATTACGCACAATCTAATATAGACTGATTGATTATTTGCATAAACTTATATAAACTTACTTTCCGAAGATGCGCAACAATATTAATACGATGTATAATACAATTTGACATGAAATATGTATCTAAGATAAGCTTATCAAATTTTGTTTTGAATTTTTATCAAGAAATTTATTCTCGCATGATATAATTAAAATAGATTCAAGTTTCAAATTTATTATTTCAAATTTAATTTAAAATTTGCTTTCAGAAATTCTATGTTATTTATAATATATCATTGTTATGCGTGCGTATATTTGCAAATTTAATTCTAAATCTCTTCCATAATGATAAAAAATAAAGGCATTTAAGGATAGGAATAATCCTCAGTATGTATGTTGTGTGTATTTATGATATGTACTTTTGTAATAATATGCGTTTTTGTAATATACTAAAATATAATAATTAAAATATAAAAATTTATATAATTCTGCTGTTAAAGAATTTTTAAATAATAGAATAATTATATTTCAGTAAACAATAAACTGTATAATATTTTAACGTATGTAAAACAAATTTATAGAAGACTCAATCATTATCTTCCTCAGTTTAATATAAAATTATCTTCTTACATATATATATACACATATATTCAAATTATTGAGAATTCAAAGATTATTATTTACTAGCATTATTAAAAATATTCTAATAATTTTATTTTTATACTTAAAAAAAACAATAATTCAAAAGTTTAATATGTACATAAAAAATTTTTCTAAAAAGTTTCTTACCAGATATTGATAAGACAGAAATATTCATTGTTATTATCGATAGTTGCGCAAATAAATCAATTTCTGTACCGTGAAAATCCTGCGGCACTAAAGCCATCTTAGTAGAAATTCTCTATTAACGACATTTGTCGATATCTTAAATTCCTGTTCAGAAACAAGTCATAACAATATTAACTTTGCAAAAGCAAACTTTGAATATCTCAGTAATTTGTTATATAATTAATTAATTAATCATAACTTTAATTTTATTTATTATTTGACTTCAACTAATATGACAAATTTTGGTGCATTATATAATTAATCGGCAATTAATTAAATTTTAAATTAATAACTTACTTCTTTTATTAAAAAAGTATTCCAACATATTATACAAAATTCAATACGTTTCATAATTTCATATACATTTCATAATTTTAATGCAAGTATAATTCTTTTTTATTATGTCAGTTAAAAATTAACTTATGTTAGTACAAATTATATTTTTACTGTTTTTCATTTAATATTATACAACAAAACTATCCTTTTATAAAAAAAAATCAAACAATGAAAAGGCAGCAATGAAACAGAAAAAGTAGACTAGAATATACATTACATGTAATGAATATACTAATACACTAAGAGAGTAGACTAAAGTATGTAGAGTATGCATAAAGTATGTATAGAATGACTTGCAACGCTCAAATAGTGACATTAAATATCAGAATTTCTTTCTCTCTTTCTTCCTCTCTTTCTCTCTCTCTTAATCTATCTCTCTTATCTTCCTCTCTCTATATTTTACGCAATTTGGAATAGAAAATTAAGATTTTTATTATCATTAATAATGTATAAAAATTGAACAAGTGGAATAAATTAAAATAAATTAATGTTTAAATTAATTAATGTTTATGATAGCTTAAAAATTGATTATATAATATTATAATTATATCAATATGATTATAATATTATTGTTATTATTATTATTATTATTATTATTATTATTATTATATTATTAATATGTTAATATTATAGTTTATATCTCATAAAAATTAGTACATTACATTCCCGTATCTTTCTTATTTATAGCTTCAAGCTGGTATTAACAATTTTGTGCCGAAATTTAAAGAACAATTGAAAAAAAACTTAATTATTTATTTTTAAAAGATTTTTGTGTTAGGTTTTAATAACTAGATTTTAATTATTAACTATACGATTATAAATATAAATAGAACATTATATAAATTAGTTTTATTATATTTATTAATACTCACGTAACTAATTATTATAGAAAAAATGATTGATCATTGTTATTGTTTTTTGATAAATCATTTCCTTTAAAATTACACTTTCTGGATCACATATACATCAAGTATCGCAATATGTAAATATCGCAAGTCATTATAGTCGTAATTAAAATCAATGATATGCTGACTTTTTGCTTTAATTAAACTAATCGCCGATTCTTATTATAACAAAATGTATTATAACAGAATAATTTCATACATTTGCATATAACATTGCACATTTTTAAAAACTTTTTACAATTAACTTAAATATTTAAAGATTACAATTTAAAAATCAAGGAAAACTAATATGTAGGCTTTTAATACCATTTTTTGCAAAATATGGAATCAAACTAGTTTTGTAGTAAAAGTATTGAAATTAAATATTAATTGTTTTTAAATTATAAACTATTAATTTATTATTTTTTGTAAGAAATTTAATGATAAGATATTAAAAGTATACAGAAAGTTTTGATAATTTACTTTTACTATTTCTTTCAAAATTGTAAGAAAGAGAAAAAGAAAGAATACAACTTTTGACTTATTGTTTTCTTAAATCAAAATTCGTGATTGATAATAAATTATTTTGCATTTATGTTCCAAATTTGTGTCATGCTTTTTATTATATTACATAAAAATCTTTTAATATATAATCAATCATTACGAAAGCAATTGACAAAGAATAAACAATTCTCACATAATAAGACAAACATAAGAGTTCGAGGTCGTGGCCTTAGCACTGGGGCCCTCATTTCCGCTTCACTCGAATTTTAGATGTCGATAGTTACAATAGCATATGTATAAGTAAGTATATGAGTATATCACATAAATTTTATTACGCTTCAAATAAAATATGTTACGCTTCAAATTAAGAAATTTTCGTAAAAATAAACTTCGCTTCATTAAGATAATAATTTTTATCAATAATTATCCGAAAATTTTTCTTAAATAATTATTTGAAGAAGCTCTAACTTAAAAAGAATATAACTTCAATAAATATTAATATAATACATTTATTTAATAAATAAAAAAAGATAAAAAGTGAAATGTAAAAGTCAATTACAGAATTTTTCAAAATTCGCAAAGAATACACAAAATTTCAAGCTAACACATCATTGTCATAATGATGTAATTATTTTTTATAACATTACTTATGGTTTATAAATACAATTACAGAGTTTAAATGCTTAAAATTTTATATATAACTGAAAGCCGTCATATTTACTACTTTCACTTTACGAGCAATTTTGTTTACATGGTTCTCGGATTCTTGCAAAAACTAATTATAATTGCAAACATAATTAAGAAGTGTCAGTACTAATGTAACATAAAATATTACGTTTCGGTAATAATATGTTGAATTGTTAAATGCCACAAACGTTGCAATCATTATTTGATGCTTTTAATATTGTTATTGTAATCTTTAAATTGAGAAAAATAATTTATGCAAAATAAAAAAAGAGAAAAAATGATATTAAGAAGTACATATAGTTTCTAATATACAAAAAATACAAATATATTTAAAAAAATATAACACGCAAATAAGAAATTATTAAAACTTGTAGGAAAATTGTTTATATATTATATATAATCAATATATTAAAATTTATTTTAATTATTACTATCATTTAATTAAAATTCTCAGTTGTAGTTATAGTTATATAAGCTTACAGTTAATAACAATAACTGTGAAATAAAATGAAATATGTAATGTTTAATGCAAATTGGTTGATTCTATTACGAATTCTATTATCACACTAATAAACAGAAACAGTTTTAAAAATTAGGAACTATTTTTTAAAAAATGTTTAGATATCTGCAATATCCGTAGCTTAAGCCAAAAGGAAAAGATCCTTTGTGAATTAAATTTTAATAGTACAAATAAAAATAGAATATTATATGTGTTAGTTACAGTTTAAAAATGAATTCTAATCTAACACACATAATATTAATTCAATATCGTTTTATATTGTTTGATATAAATTTTTTAATCTTCAAAAATTGTAATTGAAGGAACAGAAGAAATTAAGATTTTGATATGAAGAACATATTAAACGTTAAAAATTTAAACAATTAATAAACAACATATTTTTTTATTAATTTATAATTTATAAAATAATGTGCGATTTTATTTATAACATCCTATATATACATAAATTTTCTTATAAATCATAGAGTTTTTAGCTATTACGAAATAAGTTGAAAAATTATATAGGTACGATTACTAGACATAATTAACAAGAAAAAATTATAACGAATTTTGAATTTTATACAAAACTTAATAAATTTCTTACGTGTTATTTTTATTGACATTTTGTGTACTAGAAGATTGTACGCTTCCTACCTTTAATTAAAATTAATATGCAACTGAGAGCAAACGCCGTCGTATAACATGCAACTAAAATTAATATCGACAGAAGGCAAATCTATTTTGAAACTTAGATAGAAATAGCAATGTCGTAATACACATATCTTTTGTTGAATGTCTGAAATGATTGTTACTTCATATTCGCATTCTTAACAATACGTCACGCGTCTGAGTATTGCAAATGCAATTACGTTGCAATTAGCCGCAATTATCTGCAAGAAAGATGAAACTGAAGAATTGAATTACCGACAAATTAGAGATTTGAACAATTTTTCAAGTTGACAAAAGATTATCTACTAAAAGGAAATAAATTAACTTTATTTAAACCAACTTTATTGGAGTACTCAATTATTGTTGTAATATAATATAAAAGTAAGAAATATAAAAAGTATAAAAATTAAAAAATAAATAAATGAAATTTCTTTTCTTCATGATATTAAAAAACAAAAATATATTTTAATAATATACAAAAATTAAAGTATACAGATATTTTTATAAATTAAATCAATATATTATATTTTAATATTATCTATTTTGATCATAATAGATAATAATTTTAATTAATTTATCTCTAAATAATTTTGAAAACACGTGATTTAATGTGTGTGTGTGATACATATTATACATTAAATATTAAATATTAATGTCATATTATATACTATTACTTTAAAATGCTATATATTATATCGGATTGATTAAATCGGTCAAAGGTGAAAGATTAAGAATTCGACAAATGATGAAAAATCAAAATTTGAACAAGCTAGATTTAAAATCTTCCCAATATAATAACCTGTGAATATTTGAAGTAATTTTTATAAATATAATTGGCCAACTCACCTAAAAAGTCATTATTCCCAAAAGAAATAGACATTAACACTTAATTACATTAAGACTTGTTGTCACACAAGCTTGCTATAATTATAATACAATGAACTGACATTATGACAAAACGGAAGGGGAAAATATGTCCTCGTAGTCGGTTGGAAAGTTTCATGGTAGCTAGTCGCATTGAAGAAAATTGTCGAAAAGAGTGTGACCAATATAAATATCCCTCCATATGATTAAATAAAAAAATTAATCAATTCAATCAGAAATAAAAAATAATCGAAAATAAGTGTTTAAAGAAGTTAAAGTTAAAAAACACCAGTTTTTATTAAAATTATCCGCGTATTAATAAGAAAGACAAATATCAAGATAATTAATTAATATTCTTCATTTTGTACTTGTGTGAATATCGCGATAATCGCATGATAATCGATTTCTTTGGACAATTCTATAGATAAATAGTATTCAAAATCATTCAGCACTATGACTGCAATTATAAGACAGCTTATAGCATGGTATAAATTCATTAACGAAGATCTAGCAGGTATGTAATCTCGTTTTATTATTCACAGAAAATTGTACATTTTTAGATAACATTGATAATTTTCGAGTTAATTTGTTACATAAAAAAATTGCAAAATATTATTAAAAAAAAGAATAAACATTTTGTTTAAATTAAACATATTTTAATATACAATTTTAATTCTAAAATAAACATTGATTTTTTTCTATCCAAAACTTACATCTTACAATTTATAAAAGTTTTTAAATTGTACAGACAATCTGTATGCATCAATATTATTATAATGATATATATTGTGCATATAAACGCATTATTTCTTGTAATATACAATTTATAACATTATTATTAAAATATATTTTCTTATTATCGCAAGTACATTAATTTTTGCATATTTTACACACGTATGCACACGTATGTCATTATAATATGATAACAAGTGATGAATTGTTATTGTTAATTATATTGTTTATCTTCTAAACGAATATTAAACAGTTTGTCAAAGTTCATGGTTAAGAAAATATTCCAAGTCGTAAAAAAATAACAAAACTATTTTAATTGTCATGGGCAGACAGAATTGTTTGTTTTTTCTTCATTTTAATTCCGCTAATCATTTTGAAATAATTTTTATAAATTTCAACCATAAAAATATTAACAAATAAATAAATTTTAACAGTATATACTCCACGTGTCTCTGATTTATATAATCGTATGATATTAATTGTATAATTATACAAGTGATTTATATATGTATTATGTATTAAATACTTACGTATTAAATACTGTTTTTAAATATTTAGAGTAGTCATTTCTAAATAAAAAATCATTTTAATCAACAATAGTAACTGTTTGTAAATTTGTTTGTATATTTAGGATATAATTTATAATATATAATAAAACTAATTAAAAAGTTTTATATAATTAAGTTTAATATAATTTGCTTTTATTAATTTTATTTATTTCTTATACTGCAAGATCCACGTACCAAAGATTATTTTATGATCAGCTCACCATGGCCTGGTCTAACTCTGATTGGATTGTATCTATATTTTATATGTAGTTTTGGACCAAGATTTATGAAAAAAAGACAACCTTTTAAATTAAATAGGATATTGCAAATATACAATGTAATACAAATCCTATTAAATGGATTGTTATTTTACATAGTAAGTAACATTAAACTTTTAATTAAATTTTTAATTGATAATTATTTACAAAAATATAAGAATACAAAGATACTTTTATTTATATATACAGTTAATACAATAATTGTTATTGTAATACAATAATTGTTAATCAAGAAAAGTTATATAATTTAATGGTAAATATTGTAACAATTAATGTTTTAAAAGTGCATGTCATTAAAAATGTTATAATTTTTTCTTTTTGGTAAAATTAAATATATGTATATGTAGAAATCTAATATAATTAAATATTTACTTAAATTCCCATCTTCTTTGAAAAAATATACTCTTTTTTATATAATTATATATTTCAGACATTTGCAGAAGGGTTGTTAAAAGAGTTTAATTACATCTGCGAGCCTATTGATTTCTCATACACACTAAAAGCTATAAAGGTAAGAAGTCAGTTAATTAAAATTCTTCTTTTGCTAGAACTCTCTAATTTTAAGCTATTAATTATATTTATTTATATTGTCAAATGCAAAATATTGCTATAATAATATTTAGTTTATATACCAACAAACGTCTTTATTTTAAATTTATTTTATATAAAAATAAGATATGAAGAAATAAACCAATGAATTAATATCAATATCATTAATATCATAAAAAGATAAAAGCCAATACGAGCAAAAAAAAATGATATATAAAAATAGTTTATTAAAGCGCGATATTTTTATATATCGTCCTTTCTTTACTCGTATTAGCCCGTTTTTATAATATTTTGGCTTAAATTTATCGATTTCTTGATTTCTATTATTTTCAATGAATTAATGTTGTTACATATATTTGCTAAATAGATCACCAAATTGGTCTGGTTCTATTTCCTTATCAAGATGTTGGATTTAATGGATACAATCTTTTTCGTACTCAGAAAGAAGCAAAAACAAATAACATTTCTTCATTTGTATCATCACGTTGGCATTCTAATAGGTGCTTGGTGTGCCACTAAATATCTTCCTAGTGGTCATACTAATTTCTTAGGTATGTATGTATATATATATATATATATATATATAAATACAAAGAATTGTCTTATAAAAGTTGATGATTTGTATTCACATCTTTCAACTTAAAATACATTGTAAAATTAGCAAAAGTATAAATAATATAACTTAGATAAATATTATAATAAAATTGTATTTATTTTTTATATAAAAATTACAATTAATATAAACATGAGAAAAATATAATATGAAGATAGGAAGTTGTATTTATTAAGACTAAATGTATGATTAATCAATAAGTTTTATATATCAACATAACAATATCTATTTTGCGATAATTGAATACTTATTAATATTGTATTTTAGGAATACTTAATACAGTTGTTCACGTAATAATGTACACGTATTACCTGTTATCATCCATGAAGATAAATACAAATGCGTGGAAGAAATATATTACTCAGCTGCAGCTGATTCAATTTTTTATAATTACATTACATGATTTACAATTATTCTGGTTAAAAGATTGCGACTTTCCATTATGGCCGATGTATATAATGGTACCACAGAATCTGTTTATGATGATATTATTTGGAGATTTTTATTATAAAACATATATCAAGAAAAAATCAGTAAAGAAAGCAGTGCTAACAAAGACGGAAATAAATGGCATCTCTTCTGAAGTTACTACTGAAAAACAAAAAGAACAATAAATTTGCAGTCACATTTTGTCCAAATTTACTGTAATTACTGTAATTGACATTTACTGTAATTGATTTTATTAAATTTTTTTACATTAATACAAATGTCTCTTTAAATTAAATATTAATTGCTAAGAATTAAAATTTATTACTTTATTCAGATTAATTTGAAAACTCAACTATTATTTCATAATATATATTCTCTCTTTATAATAAAAATGTTTGATATATTTATATAAGCTTAAATCTTCATTTTTCAATAAATTGTTTACTAATACTTATTACATTTATCATAACAAAACAAAGAGCATAACATGAAAGAAACAACATATAAATTATTAATAAAATAGAAAATTATTTTTTTACAGAATTTATAACAATTGCAAATTTATTTATATAACATAATAGACAAAATTCATTGCAAAATTATTTATTGCAATTATATTTCTTTCTGTGTATATCTTTTTTTAATAATAAATTTTATAGCACATATTTTATTGCAATAGTATCGTCCAATTGTAATATAATAAAATAATTTTTATAAAATAAGTATTTCATAAGGTAACTACTTTAACACCGTTTTATATTCCGATTTAGACTATAATTGAGACTATAATTAATATCTGTGACTATAATATCTGAGACTATAATTAAATTGTCTGGATAAGATATGATACGTAATATATATATATATATATATATATATATATATATATTATTTTGAATCCTAATAAAAATCTTTAGAGGATGGAATAAATTTATTTCTAAAATCTTATAGTTGTCTTTAAATAACATTTATTAATTCATTCATATTTCTTACTTCATAATATTGACATTACTTCATAGCAACTGTTTATTTTCTAAATATAAATGTAATCTTTCATTATTTTAAACATAACTCATGCGTTTTAATTAACATCTGAACCACATACTCTATATTCATTTAAATATCTTTATATAATATAAAAAATAATTTTATATAATAAAAATAATTTTTACAATATTGTACTTGTACTTAAAATATGATAAAATTACAGTTAACTGAAATTTTGATGGCGGAGAGAAGATAACAAAACAATTAAGAGTTCCATTACACAATATTTATTTTAAATTTAAAATTACATTTATTTTCTACTTCAGTACTATACAAGATTTTTTATAGTAGACATCAATAATGCGTTTTCGTTTAAAAATAGTTTCTAGTCAAACGTATTATATATAGGCAGTCATTTTATTATTAGATATTCGTCAAAAGTATATTATAGCTATAAGTATAAGTATATTATACTTTTATATTATGATCTAAAAAATTATAATAAAAACAAGTTATATTTAATTATTGTAATTTATGTTTATAAATTATGTTTATAAATTATGTTTAATTCTTTTAAATTTATATTTTATAATTTTTTTTACATTTTAACATCGGATTTATTAGTCATAAATTATACAAAGAACTAAATGCTATAGTATCTTGGAAGTAACTATTTTCAAATAAAAAGGTATTATTGACGTCTACAGTTTTGACCTTGGAATTAATGTGTTATTCATGCCTTTTATTTTCTTTCCACTTTGTTGTATATTTATTCGCAACATGCAACGCTCTTATTAGAAGCACTCTATGCTTTATGTGTTTACTGTTTATATTGTTACTATTATAAAATACTATTCTTAATATATATTATATTTTATTACATATCTTTAAGTATCTTATATACCACACACACACACACATACACACACACGCGCGCGCGCATGAACGTTAATGCATTCTAAATCTAAAACTAAAAACTTTTGACAATATTATTCTATACAATTTGAGAAGATATATTAAATCCATAATACGCTATAAAAGTTTCTAATATCTATATTACTACAGCAAATGAAAAACTATTTTTATTGTTACTATTACTATTTATATTTATAGTCATTAACAATCTCATTTACTCATTTACTCATTTACTCAAATATACTATATGTTTTCTTTTTTTTACATACACATACATATGCGCGCGCGCGCTTAGAATTTACATATAATCATATTTAATTAAGGATATATTTTAATTATATTATAGATATAATGTATACTACATAGATATATATAATATACACATATATATGGGTGCATATATTGATATTAAGCTACAATGTAATATTTGTATTTTATTTATATATATATATATATATATATATAATTTAAAAGCTCAAAATAGACAATTCTCTAAATAAATTATATTTAACGTTAAAGCATTAATTACGGCGCATAATTTTGGCAATAATATACATTTTGATGTTACTCCTGTGTTAATTTCAGAATAATCTTCTTTTAACATTAAATTTTGCAAAGAATATTTAAAACGTAAGAAGGTGTTTACACTTTGATTAGCGTACGTATTTTCTAATTTAATTTTTGGAAAAAGATGGAAATTAGCTTTTAACTTAACTTTACAAAATAATTAAAATGTATGTTGAATTATTATTCGGTATACGTAAGTATTATATAAGCAAAATTTCTATGTTTTTTGAACTAGCCTTGATATTAAAATAGTATAAATAGTGTTTCTTTCTTTAACCTATTATGTTGCACAAACATTGCTTTTTCTTCTTTTTATCATTCTATCGCACCATATATTAGGTTAAATAAATAATTAATCGTGGCCCTGACCGTGGCCTGCGGATAAAAATGGTGAATGACCTACTTTTTTGAGAACGGTCCTGAACGGGGACGAATGGAAAGAAAGAAGCTAGAAGATGAGAAGAAGACGAGACGTACATGTATCCATAGCAAGTCCCACTTTTATCACAAAGATACCAACGAAGATGCCGTTATGTTGATCTCGATCCAGCCTTGAAGATTCACATGTAAACGTAATTTTTTTTATTTCGGTGACATTCTTTCACTATTACAAAGAGTAATAGTACTTGAAATTCGTAAGCTCCATTTTTTTCATCAATATATTTAAAATATTTTAATTTCAATTTTTCTGTATCCTAAGTACATTGTCTTTGTTCAATTCTTTTGATTTGTGTTTAGGAGCCATTTTATTCAAAAGGAGCAATTTTATTAGAGCGATTAAATAGCGTATGCATACATTATACATGTGCATACATATTTTTTTCTTTATTACTATTCAAAAATATTGAGTGCTTATTATGCATTCACATTATTATGCATTATGCTCAGTTTGACTGCCAACTAAATGTTTTAGTACTTTTCTACATTATAAACATTCACTTATTATCACAAGATGATGACAAACTATTTTTATCAAGTACAAAAAGTCTTTATTAAAAAAAAGATAAAAGATATGAGAAACAAGATTTAAAATTAAAGTAAATTAATTTTTTCAGTATTGAGTTAATTTTTTCAAGTTCATTTTTAATTTTTTCAGTATTCAGTAATGTTAATATTCCATCTTTTCTATCTTTTCTCTTAATTAACACAAATGTATAAAATAAATGACAATTAAGCGTATGTAAAAAGAGAATGTATTATCTTTTAAATATATTAATTTAAATATAATAATTAATTATAGTTCTGCTTTTAGCTAACTGCTTCGCAAATCCACTGATAACAACTGTAGTTGACTGATACAAAACTTATTGAATTTATACATATACATTCAAATTAATAATTATTAGACACTAAACCTAGTCAAGTATACATAATTTGTATCAAAAACACTTAGTCAGTCTATAATTATTTATATATTTTTATTATGCATGCTTATGAAAATAGTGTGAGATGTAAAGTTAAACTATATAGTAAAAGAATGATTTAAAAAAACAAAAATTGGTTATTACATACGTATAAAATTTAAACATGTTTCATTCAAACATTTATTGTATGAAACGTTTTATTGCTTAATCATTTAGAATAGCTTTTAGCAGAAGTACGTTAATGGCTTATCATTCTTTCCTCTCTAACTTTAATATTTTATTAAACTTTTACACTTAGCTTTGATATTTTTTTCTCCAATATTTAAAAAGAAATATTATATTTTAATTTTATTTTATTTTATTATAAAAATGTATTTTTTCATTATCTCTTTTATATTTTATTTCTATTTCTTGAAGTTGAAAATAAATATTAGATTATAGAATAGATTATAAAAGATAAATTTTCTTTTAAATTTTCTTTTAGTGCGTAACGTGACTTTGTTTAAAATTCTGATTACGTTTGATGTGATTTAATCTTAAACCTGAATCCGCTGTAACGATATCGATGATACTCCGACCGCTTAACCCACTAGATAGAGCACATAATCCTACTTCCAAGCTATAAATCGTTAACTTACTTCTAGCTAAAAACGCTAGAAAGCAACAGGCGATAACATTCCAAGACCTTTTTTACTCATAATACCTTCGCTCCTCTTATTGGCCAGGCTGCAATTGATGAGACACAATTATTTAACATACCGACGATGACTACTTAAGATGCCATTTTATCAAGCATTTAAATCATGATGCTGCATGTTAGCTAGCAGGTGCATTTCCAATAATTATAATAAATTTTTATCAGATTCTTAAAGTCAAAGAGCGACACGCATGAAAATTCTTCGTATAAACTTTACGACAACTCCCGTCATTAGCTCATGATAATATCATTCGTGATTTATTTAAATTCCATGGTTTTATGCCGAGCTACAAATCCATCTGAAACTTCATTTCGTATCATGAATACGTAAGCAACAATCTGTTTGTTTTGTTTGTTTAAATAATCGCGACACTAAAGGATGAATGATTCATTCACGTTTTTTGATTTCATTAAATAAATGAAATGAATGGCAAATTGATGTAAATAGTGAACTATTAATGCAAATTCTATTAACAAATCTGCATCGTTTATGAAAAAAATCTTTTATAAATAATAAGTTAATAAATAATAAGTAAATCTTATAAATTGCTAAAAATATAAGAGTTCTTTTAAAAGATTTAGATTTTTTAATTCTTTATTTTGTTGGAATAATACACCGAAGTTTAATATCAAAATATTCACTATCTCATTTATTGGATATAATAAATACATCATTATTCATTAAATTTTAAATAATGTGATTGTTTATTAAATTTTAATTAGATATAAATATGTGTACCGATTGTTATATCGATTTTACATGATGTGCGTATAAAACCGAATTTATTTTTATTTTTTTTCTATAAAAAATATTATTGCCTGTACATAGTGAGATTATTTATAAATTTATTAATGCTTCTTTAGTAGAAATACAAATGTTAATAATTTCTGAATTTCAAATAATATAACTTTGAGTAAATAAATAAATATGATTTATTTACATAAAATTCTTACATAAGATATGTAAGATATTCACTGCATTTAGAATTCTTTTAGTTATAGCATTTATAGCTATCAAATTACCCAACATTGCTTTTTAATCTTATTAAATGTAAAATTTTTACTGGCAAGAACTTGATGCATACGTTTGAAGATTTAAATATTTTGATTTGTGTTTAGGAGCCATTTTATTCGAAAGGAGCAATTTTATTAGAGCGATTAAATAACGTATGCATACATTATACATGTGCATACATATTGTTTTCTTTATTACTATTCAAAAATATTGAATGTTTATTATGCATTCACATTATTATGCATTATGCTCAGTTTGACTGTCAATTAAATGTTTGAGTACTTTTCTACATTATAAACATTCACTTATTATCACAAGATAATGACAAATTTTATTTATCAAGCGAATGACTTATAATAAGCAAAACTAACTAAAGTAAAATAATAAATGTATTTATATGCAAATATTGTAGATATATTTTTTAAAAATATATGTAATGTCAAAAAATAATATCCTAAAAATATGTTCTAAATAAATATTAGAAATTAATATATCTCATTTGACATAAATTTACATATAAACGGAGAATGGTATCTGATTTAAATCTCAGATATTTTCTTGCTGGAATACTCGAAATTTATTTATTCCGGACAAACAATAATCCAATCATATATTTGAACTTTTTTTATTCATTTTTAAAATAATTACCATTTTCAGCTTTTTCTTATAATAATAATTGAAGCAATATATTTTAAATATGCAAAAAGTATCACAAAATTTAAAAAATTAAAGATTACTAATTATTTCATCTCTATTTCTCACAATTTATTAAAATCATTTAACTTTTTATTAAAATTAAAATATTAATTTTTACTAATAATACTTTCTTAAACTAAGAATATGTGACCACATAATTTTACGTTTACATTTTTTTTTTATAAATTATTTTATATAAATTATTTTATTTAATTATTTTACTATTGAAATTACATATATTTAAAATACAATAATTTTTACAATTTGATTTAATAGATGCAAGTTATACAATACTAGTTTCTAATGTAATCATAAATAAATTATGCAATTATTCACATTGTTAAGTAGCAAATATATTTTCTTTTCACACGTCATATTACTTATTCCGGTCAAATATCGATGTCAAACATTTGAACACATTCACAATCCAAGACTTCAGAATTCGTGAATAGTAATTAACTGATTTACATTCTAAACATTTTATATAATTCTTTGTAAGACTTAAGTTTTTTGATTTAAACAAATCCAATGACCTTTATGTCTTTTTTCATTGTCATTTCATTGTCGGTTCATTATCGTTTCAAATTCCTAGATCAAAAATACATTAAGGTTTGATGTTATGTGACCATAGCGGAAGTGATGAAGAAAAAAAAAATTTATTCTGCATCTCCTTACAGAATTGGTAATATTCCTATTAATTAATATTAATAATTTTTATTTGGAAGTGGTAAATAATGTTTGAAAGATATTCAATAATTACACACATAAATAATAAGTTTATAAATTGAAATATTGTTAGATAAAATTGTAAGTAAAAACTATGCAAATTATTTTGAATTGAAGAAATATATTATATATTAATTACACAATATCCCAAAACAATGAATATTCAAATAATTCTTGTTATAATAAATACAAAATTGAAAATAAATAATTTATAAATTTTAATTGCTTTTCAATTGCTTTCGTCGAATCAAACATTTTATTGTTTCCTATAAAGACGGTTTTATACGTAGTCGTGCGTTGCAATGTAGTCGTGGTCAACTTTAGGAATTCCTATAGTGTTCTCCTTTTCTTTAGTGTCTCTTCGTCTTCGCACTCCCCTCTTTTGCGGCTCTCACGTAAGTTTGTTGTCTTCATTTTACACATTCCTTCTCTCTTTTATCTGTTTTTATTTAATTTTTTTTAATATAATTAATTAAAAACTCTCTTTCAATTAGCCATTTTTCTGTATCTTTATATTTCATTAGTATGTTACTATGTTATCAGAAGTAGCGGGATCATTGACAAGCACGGTGGGGATCGACAGAGTTTGTTAGGCATTGATCCTCTTCGTGACTATCAACGATCAGTTTCAGGTAGGACGCGAATCTCTCCTCATCGGAGATCAACGATTGAAATCGTGGAAACAAATCACTCAAGCTTCCTCATAAGAAAGGTGTTTCTTGTTCAAGCGTGTTGATTTCAAGATCTGGATTCTATTTCATAATCATGGAGTCGCGAAATTTTTGACTTTATGAAAATAATTTTACAAGATTTTACAAGATTTTACAAGATTTTACAAGATTTTAACAATTATTTGTTAAAAAGAAGGTAAGTTTACTGCAAAAAATTCATGTCTTAACCTTTTTCTTCAGAAGCAGATATAAATGTTTTGACATTCACTAACAGATTGAATATTTATTCTTATAATTATTTAAATGTTGATAGATAATAACAAATTATTTAAAACTGTGTGCTCATTAATTGTAAGATTACAATCTTTTTTTAAAAAGTACATATTAACATCAAAATTGAAAAATGTCAACTTTATCGAAATTTATTGTCTCTCTTTCATATTCTTTTTTGATACCAATTAATTCTTAGTTTACTTTGCGTCGTAGTAAAAATTTTATATTTTGACAATTGTGTACATCAAGGAATAATGCAATAGTATTATATTAATTTCTGCTCGTTTATTAAAAAAAATAAATAGTAATACGTCCATAATATGCTTTTATAGTATTTTATAGTATCTAATTAACCTTATCTATTAACTTATCTTATAGTATCTTTTATAGTATCTAATATAATTAAATTTTAATTAATAGTGATTATTTCTGTGATAATAATTAAAAAAGTGCATTATGAATTAAATATCTTTGAATAGTATTTAAAGATTTAATTAAATTTGTTGTTTAAATATAATATTTATAAAATTTATACGGAGGAACGATTAATAACTTATTCAAAGTCTTAAAAACAATTGTTAAAAACATAGTGATGCATGTTTCATTTTTATAGAAATAGAAATATTTTAATTAAATAAATGTTTCTATATTAAAATAAATAAGACCTGCAATTAAATGTATTTAGTTATCTTTATTAATTTTTAGTAATTATTTTTTTCTATATTCATAAAAAATAATTACTAAAAATAAAATTTTATATTTTATCATTACACATAAATTTTGGAGATAAAATGTTATTAAATTTTCTTATGTATATTTCAGATTTTTCTAATAATAAGTTAAGAACTATACTAGTTTTTGAAAATTATATTATCACCATGACTAGTCTCATACGACTTGTAGTTAGCAATTATAACGAAGTTTTAAAAAATGTTAAAGGTAAGTCTATTTTAAAAATTGACATTAAAATCTATTATAATGTATTGTCCTATTTATAAAGAATATTTTTCTTTATATATGAACTCAATTAATATTCCAAGTAACAAATTTTAATAAGAAGTTTTAATAAATTTTAATTAAAAAATTTAATTATTGAGGTGTTGATTGATAATGTAAAACGTATTTTTAAAAAATACTTTTTGTATGCACTTTTTATATAGTCATATATACGTTAATCTGTTAAGATGCATTAACATACATATGCTAAGTCAAGTTTTTTTTAAACATAATAAATAATTTTAAACATAATATTTTTTACACAGTTAATTATGCAATTGAATCGATTTTTACTCTATGTAAAATTCATATGTAAAAAAAATATTTGTTTCGAATAATTTTAAAATGGCAAATAATTTCTTTCGCATGTGCACAATTAGTTGATAAAGTCTTTCGTCAATTTCCATAAATTATCCAAGAATTATCAAAAAATTAAACACAATACAGCACATTTCTTAATCGGACCAACTATATAAATTGCAAGGTATATCTCAGTAATAATCATTTTATTTCATATCCAACACAAATGCTTTGCAATATAAGCATAATTGAACTATAATATTTTACAAATAAAATGAAAGAAAGAACTATTTTGTTCATGTTCTAATAATAGCACTTATTTCAATTATTATAATTCTTACAATTCAAATCTTACAATTACAATTTATTACAATTTTCGTTTTATTACAATATATTTAATTTATATATAAATATTTTTATTCATTTTAATTTATTTTATACAAATAATATATTTATTATATATTTTTATACAATATACTATATATGTTCCATAAGTATATAAAATTATTTATAACATGTGTGTGCGTGTATGTATATGTAGTGTGTGTGTGTGTGTGTGTGTGTGTGTGTGTGTGTGTGTGTGTGTGTGTGTGTGTGTGTGTGTGTGTGTGTGTGTGTGTAATTATATCTTTAAGAAATATACAGTTATTTTTTGCTGACACTAATAATTTATAGTTGCTGCTAAAAATTTTTAATAAATATTTCATCGTTCGATATTTTGATAAAAGTAAATAAATTTAGATTTTTCTCTCTATGACAGATCCAATGGTAGATACTTGGTTTTTAATGGGATCTCCGACTCCTATGTTAAGTATCGTCAGCATATATTTAATATTTGTTTTAAAAATCGGACCGAAAATGATGGAAAAAAGATCAGCCTTTCAACTAAATACCATTATGATTATATATAATGCATTTCAAGTACTCTTCAGTATTTGGTTAACAACTCTGGTAAGTTTTTTCCCGGTGATCTAATATTTAATCTTGTCTCTATTTTTTTACTAAAAACAAGAAAAAAATCATAATATATAAATATTCTATTTTTCTTTTTCAAATTCTATAAGTTTTGAAAAAAATTCTATTTCATACATAATTATTCATTACATATTATACATGGTCTGAAAAGTAATAATTTATATAATTAGTATATTTAAACTTAACTTTCTCTGAGAGAATTTAACTAATTTGAGTTAATATTTTATGAAATTTTATGTAAATATGCAAAATCATACAAAATTAAATACATAAATCAAAATACGAATTGATTAATCTTATTATCATTTCAATTTATTAATCTCATTATTTTATTATATATAATTTGAAATATACAATAATTTAAATAAGGCATACATTTTAAGATATACAATAATTAAAATATTTTTTTCATTTTAGGTATTGGATGTCGATTTTAAAAGTTTATTCTCTGCTCACGGATGTAATATTCAAAATCATTTATCATCTAAACCAGAAAATACAAACATACAACGGGCGGTAAATACTTTTGTAATTTTTAACAACAGTCAAATCAATTTATTTAAATAAATTTAATAATTTTTAATAAATAAATATACTTTTAATAATGTTATATAATCTAAATATATAGTTATCACGAGGTGCCTGGTGGTACTTTTTCGCAAAAATCATCGAGCTTCTGGATACGGTAAGCAAATATTTACAATAATAAAATTAATTAATTAATAAAAAATACATTGTCTGTCAAGTCAGTTAACTTTCGATATTTTAATTAGCTTACCAAGCAATAAAGTGTATCACTGTACTTCCGTTATCGATTAAAAGTAGCACCATTGTTTCGCCATTGACTCGATAAAAGCTATCGCAAGCAAACATTTTGAAATATGAACAAAGCGTAACCAACTCGGTCATCGGAAAAAACGTTTGTCGATCGTCCGCATTTATTGTATATATTATTTATAGTCATAATCACAAATAAGTTTAACAATTTCTATATTATTTATAGTCATAATCACAAATAAGTTTAATAATTTCTTTTAAGTTTTCGCAGAAATAATTTAAATAATTTTTTCTTTAGATTTAATTTTAAGATATAATAAAAAAAATGTAATTTTTAATGTTTCGCTTTTTAAGGTATTTTTCGTTTTAAGAAAGAAGCAAAATCAGGTTACATTTCTTCATGTTTTTCATCATACCATAACGGCAGTCTTCTCATGGTGCTATTTAAAGTTACTGCCTGGCGAGCAAGGCGTTATTATAGGTTTCTTAAATTCCGTGGTCCACATCATTATGTACACTTATTATTTCATTGCGGCTCTTGGCTCTAAATATAGGAAGTATCTTTGGTGGAAGAAATATATGACCTGGATTCAGCTGGTAATTATACTGCCAAAGTATAGATTATTCGAAACCTCATTTCCATCAATTCTTTATTTATTCACTGATAAAATTAATTAATTATTTCTATATTTTTATTGTAAATTCTTTTCTGATATTCAGCAATTTTTGATACAATATATATATAATGAAATTTTTTATATAGACTTATTTTATTTTTTTCATATATTTTTTAATATATTCAGTCTAATTTTAATTATTTATTCGAGCAAACACATATTACAAAAATATTAACAAATCCAAATTGATAATTTAAATCTTTTTTCATTTTCAGCTACAATTTGGTTTAATGTTAGTCTACTTAGTACTAACATTAATTATGGATTGCCGAACACCAAAGGCTTTAACTTATTTCTTTGCAACAGTCATAATAATTTTCATTTATTTATTTAGCGATTTTTACTGTAAAGCATATAAGAAAAAAATAACTTAATAACAAATTATTAATAAATACAGACAAAATTAATTTAATTATTTATGTATAAATTTTATGTAAATAATAAAAATATAATATCGAAAAATAATACTAAATAACTATAGCCCACGGTGCAGCAATATTGCAATTGTATTTTGGTTTAAAGTAAAAGAATATTAAAATTGTACAGTAATACATATATAAATATGCATAATATGTTGTATTTTTATTTAATATATACATTAATTCAATTCTCTTAAATAATAGAGTTATATAAAAAATTTTTTATATAAAAATAATTTTATACATATATATAATGATTTAAGCAAAAATATTACAAGTATAAAATATATGTTGGAAATTGATATATTTGATTAATGTATCAAATAAAGTAAAAAGTTAAATAATAAAATATGCATGACATCAAAATTTCATATCTGCGACAATGTTCAAAATGTGTTACGCCACAAAAACAAAGCTCAACAAATATTGGAATGTACTAATCTCTATTTTAAAACCTGTCCGAATAAACTTAAATAACTTTTTACATTATGTAATTTTCTCAATACAATATAAAATTATTTCATTATTTCTATAAGTAACTATTAATGATTATGATTTTCAAAAAGTTATGATATTTTATCTGCATGCCGAGATATAAGAACATTAAATAATAAATAAGAATATTAAAAATAAATAAATTTATCTGTTAAAGATTATTTCTAATTATTATTAAATAAACATATTTTATAGATTTAAGATTTGATCTTAATTTTAAGAAAAAGAACAATTAAAAAATTATTAATTAACTACTTTTGTAAGATCTCATTTAAGAAATCTTAGGTTTAATACGTAATATAAATTAGTGTAGAGTAACGAACAAGAACAATTATTGTTGAAGTAGAATTATAATAAAATTTTTCTTTAGATTTACGTTATAATTTTTATATGCTATACTTGTACGAAACATATGGATAATGTATTAATACATATAATTTATTTATAAATTTAAATATTACAGAAACTCCTACGTATATTTCATCTTTACTTATTGATTTATTTTCTAATAATACAGATTGTCCGCATCTTACAATAAAGTGAAAATTATTTCCGCATTATTAACATAATTATAATTTTTTATAATTGATATAAAGATATTTTATATCAGAATGATAAATTTTTTGCAGAAGAAAAAATGTCAAATCTATATAATGTTCATCAATAATTCAAAATTGATTTAAAATATAAGTTACAGAATATATAAATTTTTTGAAACATAAATTTATATTAAAAACCTTAAATATTTTAATATAAATTTATGTTATGTAATGTCAAATATCTGAAAGAAATATTTAGATAATAAGATGCGTTGTTTGATATTTGTTCACGATTAATCCATTTTATAATTTCTCATCGAGATTTAAACAAATATAAAATGTATGAAATGCCTCGAAAGTAATTGTAACATTTTCTTTCGAGATGCGATTGTGAAAAGAAATTGTGATCCTTTTCTACGAACAACTTTCTTATTCATAACTCTCATTTTTATCGATCCGTATCGAAACATGATGATTATTTCTTTAAACAAATACATTCGTTTGAAATAAGAATCGAATTGAAGATAAAAATTATAAATATAATATTTATAAATAACAAATCTCTATTTCTTTAATAGTTTTCGTTAATTGTATATTATTTTGTATCGCATTTTGCATTTTTCACTTTTTACATATAATTTAAACAATATCGTTTACAGATTGAAAAAAGAAATAACACACAAATCGGAATAAATAATTTAAATAGCGAAAAGTAAATTTTATATACATTAATAATATTATATTGCATATTATATGACGATATCAGGAATATTGTGTTATTGTAGCATTGCACAATGTTGTATTTTTTATTATATTTTCAATAATTTTTTTTATTATATTTTCAATAATAGTTGGCATGGCATTACAAATAACATGCTTTCGCAAACCTTGACTTGAATAATTGATAAAACAATCTAAAATGAAAACAGACAGAAGAAATATTGAATGTTGGGAGAATAACCTGGAAAAAAATTATATTTTCCAAAGGAAATAAAGAAAGACTCATATTATGCAATAATTGATTTATATCTTAATACAATCCAAATGCGCCAAGTTTTTACATATCAAATTGAAATACATTCGTTTTGTACTGAAATCTTAAAAGATTAATTTAAAATCTAACTTAAAATAATACACAATATTGTTAACATATAATACTTTACATCTTTAACATTGGGCTTTTAAATTTTTAAATTTTAAACTTTTAAATCTTTATTCTGGATTTTATTATAATTTGCATAAATAAATTAGCTGTCATGCGTTTATAATACATAAGATATATAAAATATCTACATATCTTTGATAAATCGTAACGAGTCTATTAAATAAACCAGTAAAAGCACGAATAAATTATTCGGAAAATTTAAAACGTAAGGGTTATAGCATTTAATGTTGAATTATCAAGAGACGTTATAACGTTTTAACGTGTCAATTAGATATTATTTGTAATATTCGTATATTTCGTTTTTTACACATTGTATACAAGGTGTCGTAGCCTTGAGATTTGTTTACGCGCCGTATAACGCCGTACAACCGTGTTTACGAGCGCTATCGCGTTTCTCATTCTTGCTATCATTCTTTAACTGGCGTTTGTACAGGCAGGTAGCAATACGTCGCTCCGCGTTTCTTCGCATTTTTTTCATCGTTAAATAATACCAAACGTTGCTGTATTGTATAAATATAATATAATAATAAATGCTCATTAACGATTGATTAACATTACAATTAAATGTATCAAAATAACAACTTTTTAACAAAGTATATATACATTTCGCGCGACTTATCGCTTCGAAATTTATAATTACTTTCATATTACTTTTTGTAAATGATAACCCCTCCGATATCGGTATGGCGTGGCAGAGGGTTGAGTATTCTGAGGAGTTCCGAGATCCCAAAGAAGAAACTGACAGTTGGATTAGAAAGAACGATTTCTTTAGATTTAATAAATTTTATTAGATTTAAAGAAATTTATTTTTTTAAATAATCCAAACAAACCAATTATTAAAAAATTTGATTGCTGGCAAGTAATAAATAGCTTTATTTCAAATAAAATTGTTATAAATAATATTTGTTTAATAAATTATTTGAAAAAAGTAACGCTCTTTTTATTATATGCTTTAACAATATTAAAGAATCTCTTTATTTTATTGAAACAATATTTAATCAAACAAAGTATTATTTAATTCAAATATAAATTTTCTTTAAATAATAGTGCTTGTTCTATTAAACAACATAATATTCTAATGAAACAAAAACCCTTAATTTAACAAAATAAATTTTAATATAAAATTATATTATTTAAGTTAAATAAGTTCAAGTCAAACAAATAGAATCGCTAATCTAAACAAACTTTGTTCTCGATGTAATAACATTAATATTAATGTTAGACAATAAGAGTTGCATATCTCGAAGAGTTTTATGATTTAATCTGAAATTTTTTACGAATTTAAATATAATTTGTATACTATTTTATAATACATATAGTGATAATTAATTTATCGTAACAGATAAAATAGACAAGATATCAATAATAAAGGTACCAATAAAGGTAAATTCCAAAGGTACGTAAGATATAGCTATACGTCTATCTAAATAAAATAGATTGTAACGTTAAATAAGTAATAACGAGTCTATAATAATTGGACGCTCACGCACTATAAGCACCATTCTATCTTTATTATTCATTAAATTCTATCTTTATTATTCATTATCTAAGAAAGATCGAATATTACAGCGCGTGCGCGCCAAAAAAGGAACGCATCCTAAATGAAATAGCAAATGTACGATACGAATTATTTAAAAGTTACTTAAAATGTAACAATTATATTATATTATTTAAAGTTTCGTTATCGAAAGATGTTGTAACGTGGAAATGAAATTTTGTTCGTAATATTGTTGAATATTTCGTTATCACCAGATAGATTGTTGTTGTAGCCTTGAGTTGTGTTTACGCGCCGCGGCTGGTGTGTCGTCTGTACGAGCGCGTTTCATTCATTCACCGGCGTTCGCACGAGGCGGATAGCAAAAAACACGCTGCTCCGAATTCCTCCGCATTTCCCTGTTACTGAATGATATCAAAACGTTGCTCTGTTTTATAGCTAATACGATAATACGCTTATTAACCGATGTGGATTAATGATTCACGTAAGCATACCGAAATAACGATTCTCTAGTGAAATATATATATATATATATATATATATACATACATATTTCAAGTGATTTATTTTTTGAAAATTCATAACTTTTTAAACATTTAACCCCTCCCCTGAGTACGGCCTTGACGTGGCAGAGGGGCTCAGTATTCCGAGGGGTTCCGTTTTGGCTTCCCTAACGGAATTCCAAAGACGAAGAAGCTAAGCAGTACCCGTTGTACCGTTATTAATAACATTAATGTTAACGTTAGGTAATATTACCGTTATTAATGATGTACTAACACAGCATAGCGACGAGTCGTTCAATGGTTCTTATGTGGCACATGCGTTTCACGCATTAATCATTTTTCCACCGTCGGTTTATGATAAGTGAATGAACTGCCAGTTTGTCGCGTCGCGTGTTTGCTTCGGGAGTGCTATATAAGCGATCGGACTAAAAGATCCTCGTCCTGCGAGAGCTTATATGACAAATATCATAGTTCGTGCCGAAAATCGTACCGCCAAGGGATGCAGGGGGCACGGAATCTCATTGAGGCGTAAATCCGGCTACGTCCTCCACGTGCGCCGCGGCACTACCGGCTGTGAATGTTCAGACGCACTCGCAACGCTTAATGTGCTGTGTTTCGCATAGCTTGCAAATTGCATTAAACGCCTAATTGAGAACACTGTGTCTTCGACAAGTGGTTCGGTCCCAATCGGATTTTGGGTGACTTGTTTTCGTCGTTTTTCTTGATCTCTTCTTTTCGACGCAGCATTGCCACGAGTCGTGAAATGACTTCCAATGTGGCGCGTGCGATTTGCTGCGCTGACACACGCAGTTTTTTATTAACCGACTTTTTTTTCCTTTTCTTAATAACTCCTAACGAAGCGCGATTTAATCTGACTTTACCAGAGCTCAGTTCGGGCGGCTTTCGCGTGGACCGTGAGGCTGCCTCCCGATTGTCTAAATTGTTGTGCGAGTGTTTTTCGCGAGTGTCCTGTGTCCTACGAGGAAACTTGACCGTCTAACATCCTGAGAGAAGGATGAGGCCTAGAAGAGGCATCAGGCACCGGCGGAGCAACCTTGCGGTAAATACAATTTTTTGTTAACATAAAATTATTTGTGTTCTCATTTATTTGGATCGCTGAATTTAAAATTTAAAATTTAAAATTTATAGTTTGGAAAAGAAAAACAATTTAAAATTTGATATGAATTTATTTTATCTATAAAGATCTTTTTTGAAATATACTTATATAATTATTTTAATAAATATCTAATGTGAAATAGATTTGATATAGGTAAGAATTTTTAAAATATCAATGATTTAGAGCGCTGCTATAATTTGCATTTGTTTGTGTGTTACAGAATCAGCGTAGCTACGTTGCAGATTAACTCCGCTGTTGCGCATCGGGTCGGTGAGTGATAAATTTTTTATATTGAGGAAACAGATTTGTGAAACTTAGATTTATTTTTATATATTTATAAAATTATAAAAGTATTGCAGTTGGATGTACGTTTTCACAAATTACTAAAATGAACAGATTTAAACAGTTTGGAGTTTTATATATTTAATCCTGATGTGACGCTGTTGATTTATTATATTATAATGCATTTGTACAAACACAAAGAGCTCATGAAATAGAATTCTTTGTATCAATTTCATTATTTTATATTACGAAATATTACGTTTTACGAAATATATTAATTGCTTAAAAATTATCAAAATTATCAATCTCGCAAGAGAGTATAAGTAAAATAATTGTTTTAAGTACACATGTTACATATAAAGTAATATAGATAATTTAAAAATAATACAGTTTATTTTATTAAATATTTTTTGGAAAATATTAATATATGGAATTTATTAAATTTATTAAATTTGAAATAAATTATGGAATTTATTAAATTCATTAAATTTGAAATAAATATTTAACAATAATAGAAATGGCACAAAACCGTGCAAAAGAAATTTAATTAAATTAGTAGTCTTCAAAAATATTAAATTTTTATTTTAAATATTTTTATAATACATTTTTCTCAATATGTATGCAAAAACATACATGGAACGGATGCGGTGCGGTTGTAATTGCGGTTGCATATTCATAATTGGTGCAAAATTGATAATTGTTAGAATTTTGTTTTTAAATGCTGTGCATAATTATTGAATTAGTCCAGAATTAACGGAAATATTTGATGAATGTTATAATATTCGATTGCTTCTTGTACTAAAAGAGAATGTACCGTACTGAAACATAAAGTTAGTACATTTACTTTTTATTTTTATTTGTTTTCTTATTTTTTATGTTTATCTTTTTTTTTATTTATTGGCGTACTTTTACTTGCGAATCTTGCCTTGAGTGATTGATGAAACGATCTAAAATAAAAACAGAAGAAATATCGAATATCGGCAAAATATCTAGACAAAGATTATATTTTTCAAAAAACGGAAAGGTCCCACATAAATTAAAAAAGGAAAAGTCTTACATAAATTATGCAATAATTTATATAATCTTTATATGTACAATCCCATATGTGCGCCAAGTTTTTATATATCAAATTAAAATACATTTATTTTGTACTGAAAAAATTAATTTTAAACTTAAAATCTAATTTAAAATAATATATATTATTGTTAACATAATGATATATTTTCTTATTTATATTGTTTATTAAATTTATTAAGTTGTTATATTTTATAAAATAATTTATAACAAAACAAAACAAAATTTATATAGATTATCAAAGAATTATATGTCAAAGAATTATACGTCAGTTATATTAAAATATTTGAAACAGAAACTAAATCAAAGAATTTTCCTCTTAAATAAGCGAAAGATTAATTTTGAGATTATTAAGAGATAGAATCAACAATTACAACAATATATCACATTAATGATATACATTTTTATTATTTTTATTATACAACAAATTACACGCAATATATAATATAATACAAAATTGCGGTCGATATAATTATTTATCCATCCTCATAAGATTACCGAATTATTTGAACGATCAATCAATTTTGAAATTGTGATTATTCAAAAATAGATTATTTATAAGTTAAGAAGACACAGCATTGATATTATAAAGCATTGATATTATTTATATTAAAAATCCTATTTTGATATTTCAAAACATAAAACGCTAAATCTTACATATATTTCAGTATCACTACTCAAAAGATATTAAAGTCATTATTTAAACATAAAAGAAGAAAAAAGAGAAATAAATCGTATTATTTTAAGAGGCATTCAGCAATTGACGTAAATACCAAACAAATTTAAAGCCATACTCTTTGGATTCAATTAATTATTATTCAGAATATTAACATTCTTTCATAACGTGTATCTGAAACTGATTTCCCTAATTTAGAATAAACGAGATTATTTTTTAATTTAGAATATTTTCTAATTTAGGTTATTTTTTACATTTAAATTAAATTTTAAATTCTACATAAAAATAAGTTTATAAAAATAATAGAATAGTAATAGTCCATTGCAGCGTCAAAAATATATTTTTACCAGTTTTACCAAGAGTTGATAAAAATGATGATGAAAGAATGCTTCTAATGAGCAATATTTAATTTTGTTAAATAAAATTTTTAAATATTAGTTATATAATATTAGCAGTTATATAATATTAGCATAATAATATGTTTTTCGTAGAAAGAAAATAATAATTAAAATTTAAGAAATATATTCAAAGATGATATAGTTGAACTAAAAAAAGTCCAGTCACAAAAATATAAATATTAATTGAGCGACAAGAAACTATCAATTTTTGGATATCCAGTTTCATGTATAAACTTATCTAAGTAATACTTAATCTCGTAAATTAAATATTACGTATGATTTTTCATTTAAAAAGCAGCTATGAT